CTCTCTCTCTCTCTCTCTCTCTCTCTCTCTCTCTCTCTCTCTGTTGGTGTGACTTGTGCCATCTTAGAGTTAGCCAATCAGATCAAGGTCCATTGGGAAGTATGGAGGATGAGCCCTTCAGCCTAGGCCACTAGCTGAGTCAAGACTGTCGTACTGCAGGGCCATCTTGAGCTCTAGGTATGAGTTTCTGTGGGGGCAGTTAGGCAGGGACAATGTGAACTGCATGTGAACTCATCTTCCCAACTAGGTCTACGTGCTGATTTTCTCCTCACATCAGAGGCACTCTATCAGTGCACTTGCATGTATGGAGATGGGGGAGTGGGATGGTAAAGTCTGAACAGTAGCACCTTATCCACTAAATGAATCTGAGCTTTGGAGGATGGAAAAAACACCCTCATCAAAGCAATCTGAGAAATAGCTTGCAAGTGCCTTGACTGGTCACCCTACTTGGCACCACACTGGTCTTTTCCAGCCCTGACCCAAATCCATACAAACCAATTTCATTACTCATCTCTGGGGTATTTCTGCTGTTTTCAAAGGGTGTGCTTTGAACTTCTTTCTATGAGGTGAGTCATGATGCAAACCATTTAAATTTGTAACCACAAACTTGTGTAAGTCACAATTGGTCTTCCTATATCCACAATGGTTGTTGGAGTGGTTGCCAGCTGATCCAGTGAGGGGGTGTCCTTGGGGACTGGAGAGATGGCTCAGAGGTTAAGAGCACTGGCTGCTCTTGCAAAAGACCCGGGTTCTAATCTCGGCACCCACATGGTGGCTAACAGGTGTCTGAAACTCTAATTCCAGGGGGTCTGACACCCTCTTCTGACCTCCGCAGGCATTGCATGGCACGGGCGCACTTACATACACTCAATACACTTATTGAGTGTATGCAGGCAATACACTTAAACACATAAAATAAAAATAATAAGTAAGATATACAAAAAATGCATTGCCTTCTGAGCCCTTTGGTGATAAGGGCAGATAGAATGCTCGTCTAATGTCTCCCACTTATGATGTAGCTGAAAAGCTATGAATTACAGAGGGATCCTTCTCTAGTACCAGTTTGCTGTAGATTGTGGAGCTCCTGCATTTTTATACTTCCAGATTGCAATTCTGGAGCTTACTGAGTCTTTTCTTGTTTCTTGTGCCTAGAGAAGAAACTAGAGTACTGTCAATAGCATTCAGGTATACATAAATACGTATTACCTCAGAAAATGAGTATAGTCATTTTGGATAATGAGTTTGAAGACATATATAGCACCTATCCTTGACTGCATAGATTAAATACACTTTTAACCATTTTTGATCAAAGGTATTGACCTAAGAGACACAGAGGAAAAGAAAAATGAAGAGGGATATGAAGGATATTGATTTTAAAAGAATGTGCTCACGATGTGTGCACTTACTCTGATAATGAGGGAGGAATCCGTGATGTTTGTGGTGTTGATAGAGAACTCTGCCAGGCCATGCTGATCAGTGATAGCACTTTCTTTGTAGTCAGCATACATTGCCCTGATGAAGACCTGCTCATTTGGGATAGGACCTTCTTTCGCATTTACTAGACGTACCTATAATAGAACAATGAAAAAAAAAGTATAGTCTAGCTATGATAAAACCATATAGAGTGTAAGAAAAAAAACTTCTTCTGATATTACATAAAGGCAAGAAAAGATCCATCAGTGAATTCAGAATGTAAAAATAATTGTAAAAAGTCAACACTTTCAGATTCACTCCAACAGAGCTGGCAGTGCTGTGAAAGCTCACAGGTGAAAGTATCTGATTCTTTTTTGTTTGTTTGTTTGTTTGTTTTGGCTTTTGGTCGTTTTGAGACAGGGTCTCCTTGTAGCCCCAGCTGTCCTGGATTCCCTATGGAAACCAGGCTGACCTCCAACTCACACAGATCCGCCTGCCTCTGCCTCCCAAGTGCTGGGATGAAAGGCGTGTGCCACCACTCCCGGCGAAAGTGCCATATTCTTAAAGCCACAATATATGCATCTTATTTATCTGTTATTCACAAGAAACCATCAGCATATGAACTAGGAGTGGTAGCTGCTCTTCTCTGACACATTAAAAAAAAAACCCATAAGGGCACTCATAAGGGCCATGGACTTGGACTGTGCAGATTTATTGTGAATATTCAGTACCTGTTGTTTCGCAAATGAAACACAATGACACTTTGGGGTTCAAGCTTTCAAGCACAATCGTGTAAATAAAAGTTTTGGTACATATATTTTTGTGATTTGGGACCTCTTTAAAATATTTATTTTTATTTTATGTGTATGAGTGTTTTGCCTGCATGTAAATGGGTTTTTCACTCATGTGGTGCAAAACCCACAGAGGCCAGAAGAGGGTGTTAGATCCTTTGAAGCTGGATTTACTGATGGTTGTCAACCATTATGTGAGTTCTGAGCACCAAACCCAGATTCTCTGCAAGAGTGCCCAGTGCTCTTAGCCACTGAGCCACCACTTCAGCTTCCAGTTGGGGCCTCCTGATAACTTTTCTAAACTTTTCACATTAGTTCTGGGGACTGAATCCATGCCCTGAAGCGTGTTAAGAAGAAACTATATCCCTAAGCCATATTCCTTGTATTGCAAGCAACAATGTTGTTATACATGCTTGAGCAGAATGGACTAGGCTGGGGTATGACAATACTATTTAACCATCTATGAATCACAAAGTCCTTTACCTTTACTAAGAATGGAATCCCATGTCTAAAGTGTGGATCCACTTTCACAAATACAACTTTCGTTATGGTTCTTGTGACTTTAGTTGTCCCAGATCCAGTGAATTCAAAACCTGAAAAAGAAATTAACAACCACAACCACCACCACCACCACCATGACAACAACAACAACACACCAGTTAGAGAGGAATCGTTTGTTTTCAGATTATTATCTGCATTATTCTAACTACCATACTGGCAGGAAAAGGTAGCAATTTTCACAGCTTCATTGTCTATGTTCTTAGGTTACTCACATACCTGTCCCTTCTTCTGTAACTATGGCTTTCACATGAAGACTATTAACTTCATAACGTGTTTGGTTTAATTCAAATTCACTGATGTTTTTTTCTTGTGTGATACAGCCATTGTTATCTAGCTGATATGCAAAATAAAAACAAAATAACATGACACATTGATCATATCAGTGGTCAACTCAAAGCAATATGTGAAGACTTCTTTACAGAAAACTGAGTGCTTTGTACCCTGCAACATGGTATTCTGGTTATGAGTATGGGATTTAGCTCAAACGTTAAGCTATGGTGTGCATGATCATAATCAAGTCTTAGAGATGCTTAGTCATTTATAAAAGCAATGATTTTCTTCATAGGCATATTATGATGATTAAATAAATTCATAAATATAACAAGAACACTAAATAGCATGCTGTGAGACCCTAACAATCACTTTCTATTGTTTAAAACATCTATCGCAGACTTGAATGTAGTTCAGTGGTACTATATTTAATTAGCATACATGAAGCCTTTGGTTTGACCCCTAGCACCAGTAAATAAAAAATAAATAAAATGAAATAGATTTCCAGGGTAAGATGGTGATTTATAAGTTGCCCCTCTGTGGCTTTGTGAGTGAGAAGTGTCATTATAAGAAATAGGCTTTATTGTGAAAAGGGAAAAAGGAGAATAACCAGAATCACCATTGAAGTAATAACCAGCTAAAAGGTATGAAGAAGCAGAAAGACTACACTAGGCAAAGGAAGTAGGCAGGGCCTATGGCCACTCCCCAGTTTCCCAGAATGCAGTGGAGAAGCTAAAGCCATCACCATGAGGTAAGGCAAACATCTCCAGTGAAAACAGGCTGCCAGTCCTAGCCAAACACATTGCATGCTAGTCCCCTGCCATGTGACTTTTCTCATTGATGTTACATGTCGTCTTTGTACCCCTCTGTTGTGGTTTCAATGTGAACTGTCCTCCATAGGCTTGAACACTTTGTACCTAGCCGGTAGCACTGTTTAGAAAGGTTATAGACTTTAACAATTGGAGCTTTACTGGATGAAGTGTGCCACTGGGATGCATTTTTAGGGTTTATAGCCTGGTCCCACTTTTTGTTCTCTTTGCTTCTGAACTATTGATGTAGTGTGATATGCTGACCTCATGCTTCTGTTCACATGCCTTCCTCATCATGATAGATCCTCTGAATCTGTAAGCCAAAATGGCCCTTTTCTCCTCTAAGTTGTTTTAATTAATTAATTAATTAACATTTATTTTATGTGTATGAGTGTTTACCTGCATGTATGTAAGAGCACCCATGCTGTACAATGCCTACAGAAGCTAGAAAAAGCACACTGGATCCCCTGGAACTGGAATAGTTACAGATGGTTGTTAGCAGCCATGTAGGTGCTGGAACCTGAACCTGGATCTTTTGCAAGAACATCCAGAGCTCTTAACCACTGAGCCATCTCTTCAGCCCTTCCTCTAAGTTGTATTTTATCAGGGTATTTTATCACAGCAACAAAACTGAACTTAGTACATGCTGCAATACATCATCTGTGTGTATCCTGGCTTAAAGTGAGGGACTCAAGCAGGGAGACCAGGTCCATCATAGAGATCTATAGGCCTCAAATAATTAATTTAACTTAAAAAACACTGCCCACAACTAATTATATTTATGAATTTTCATAATTTTGTAATTAGATTTATCTCATTATTTCCTCTACCTCATATTCTCTTTTCTTCCTTTTATTTTCTTATATTTAACATCCTTTTCCCCATCCCTGCCCTTTTCTTTATTCATTTATAATTATTATTAATTTGATATTAATTCAATTTTAACTTCATGACTTTACATTTTTTTCCATTTTCTTTTCCACAGTTTTTGGTGGCACAGTAGTAGGCTTTACTATTTTAACTGTATTTCTCTATTAACTTTGGTTTGTTGGTGTTATCAGTAGCGTTTTTCTTGTCTCTGAGTGGTAGTAGAAATGAAGCCGTCAAGTGGAAACTGCTTATTAAGAAGACCCCCAAATAAAACTGGAAGAAAAATCCATCATAACAGACATGCAAGTCTCAATGTAGGAACACAGAAAGCATGAAAAGCAGGGCAGCATGTCAACTACAAAAGATTAGAACTCCTTGCTAAATGAATCCAAAGATGTTGAAATGTTTTTAATACTGGACTAAGAATCCAGCAGTCTAATGACTAATGACCTCAAAGGGGATTTAAACAAACAAATGAAGATATTAGGGAAGTCAATTAAAGACAAGAACAAGAAAGTTAGCAACAAAATGTAATGGCTAATTTAAATATTCAACTTTATTAGACTAACAGATGTGGGGCATTAATGAATCCAACCTTTGAATGAGTCTCTGATGTATTTCTAAAGAGATTTAACTCAGAAGGAAGGTCTGTGCTGAATGTTGGCAGCATCAGCTCATAGGTAGGGATCCTGAGATGCTATGGACCAAACAAAGCATACTCAAAGTCATGTGAAAGACTATATTCTTCTGAACTGTGAACCAAAACAATCCCTCTCTCATTTAAGTTGCTTTATGTCTGTTACTTTGGCACAGTGATGGGAAGAATAACTTAAAACTCCACTAGAAAACTTTTAGATTTAAGATACATTTACAGCAATGTAGAGGGATACAAAACCAACATGCAAACATCATAGCTTTTCTATATACCAATCATACTGATCATTTGAGAAGAAAATCAGTGAAAAAATTCCCATTCACAATGACGTAAATATGGCTAAAAGTAACCAATGTGGTGGAAGATTTCTGTAATGAAAACATTAAAACAATGAAGAAAAAATGGAAGAAGACACCAAAACCCAGGAAGAATGCCCATGCTCATGGACTGCAGAATTGATGTTGTGAACATGGCTGTATTGCCAAATATGATACAGATTCAATGCACACTCTATCAAAATGTCAGTGATATTCTCTACATAAATAGAAAAATGAATTTGTATGGAAGGCAGTCTTGAACAAAATGTGTACTGCTCGCAGGTACCATAACACCTGATTTCAAATTATACTACAGAACTCTAGTTACAGGGATAGAATGACTCTGGTGCAAAAACAGGCACATATATCCATGGAATAAAAGAAAAGATCCAGAAATAAACCCATGTAACTATAGTCATTTGGCTTTTTTTAAACAAATGTGTCAAAAAAATTTGTTAGACTACAAACAGCCTCTTCCATAAACGATGCTGGGAAAACGGGGTGTCCATACATAGAACAGTGAAAATAGATTCTTATCTCTCACTCTGTACAATAGACCAATTCAAAATGGTCTAATGTAAATCCTGAGCAAATTAACTTAATTGAAGAAATCACTTTAAGATATAGACATAGACAACATGTATTAATAACAAGATTTGACAAACATGAAAGAGTTGGCTTCCATGTCTTGTTCCTGATTTTGGTGAAAATGCTCTGAGCTTTTTTTCCATTTAGCATGTTAGTTGTGGGCTTGTTGTATATTGACTTTATTATGTTGAGATATGACTCCTGTATTCATAGATTCTCTATGACTTTTATTATGAATTGATATTGGATTTTTTTCAAAGAACTTTTCTGCGCTTAATGAGATAATCATGTGGTTTCTGCCTTTGAATAGCGTGGTAGATTACATTTATAGATTTATGTATGTGGAATTATCCCTGCATGTCTGGGAAAAAAACAGTTTGATGATGTTAGATTATCTTTAAAAATTTTTTAATTGAATTTTTGCCAATTTCATACAATATATTTTGATCATATTTAGGCCCCCTCCCCTAATTGCAGTCCAATTTCATGCACTGCAAGATATATATATATATATAGTAATACTTGTCCCCAAGTTTCAGGGGAGGGAAGATAGAATGCAGTGATATAAAGGGAAAAAAGGGACAAAGGAAGGTTAAATGCAGTGAGGAATGAGGAGGGCAGGGAAGAATATGGGCAGGTATAATCACCACTAAAGGCCTTTAAAAGTATGTGGTACCCAGTAAGTTGACCAGACTCTAAGGGATGAACCCACATCCAAGAGCATTTAGAGAACACAAATTAGACTCAATAGGCCTTTAAAAAGTAATAGAGGAAATGGAGTGAGATATGGAGGTAGGGGTGACTCTGAAAGGAAATGGGGGAGGGAGTCTGAATATGATCAAAATACATTGTATGAAATTCTCAAAAATTCAGTAAAACATTACTTAAAGAAAATAAGATAACATGTTTCCTCCAAAAAATGCAGATTCCATAGTAATGGCCCCTAATAGAAATAACCTAGAAGAAATTCCAGACAAAGAATTCAATGGCAGGATTAGAAGTATGTTCAAACAACTCAAGGAAGGCAAAAATATGAATGAAATAAGGAAGCCAATCCAAGACAGGAAACTAGAGCTTGAATTGCTATAAAAACCTTAAACTGAAATGATGCAAGGAATGAAAAACCTCAGTGGAAAGCCTCACCAACAAATTGGATCATGTCAAGCAGAGAGTCAGAGTCAGGGATAGAAGACAAAGTAGAGAAATTGGATCATTCAAGCACTATCAATGAAAAATTGAAAATTGAAAAACATATGAATGGAACATGAGAGAGTTGTGGGAAACATGAAAAGTCCTAACATTCCAATTATGAGCATAGAATGAAAATACTGGAGTAAAGACACAGCAAATAACTTCAGTAAAATCACAGAAGAAAAATACCCAACCCTAGAGAAGAAATGTCCATCCAGGTACAAGAGACCTACAGAACACCAAAGAGACAGGATCAGAAAAGTAATTCTCCATAATGAATTATAGTAAAAACACTAAAGACACTGAATAAAAAAGGATATTGAAAGTTGCAAGAGAGAAAGGTCAAGTCATTTATAAATGCAGGCATATTAGAATAACACCTGATCATTCAACGGAAACCTTTAAAGATGATAGGGCCTGGAAGGAAGTCATCTGAGTTCTGAAAGACCACAATTATCAACCTATACTATTATGCCCATTAAAACTATCTATTAAAATTGAAAGAGTTATAAAACTCATGATGAAGACAGATTCAATGAATTTATAACTACTGAGTGAGTTCTACTGAGGATACTAGAAGGAACACATAAATCTGAAGAGAAGGATAAACAGACCCAAGAGGTCCCAGGAAACAAATAAAATAGTGCCAGGACAGATAATCAAAAGAAGTCTGAGACCACACCACAAATCAAAATGACATGAATTAATGAACGTATTTCAATATTAACTGATTATTAATGGTCTCAGCACCCAATAAAAAGGATACAGACTAGTAGATTGGATTAGAAAACAGAATCTAACGTTTCCCTGCCTCCAAGAAACACACCTCACCATCAACGATAGACACCACTTTAAGATAAGAGGATGGAAAAAAGCACTCAAAGAAAATCATGCATGATACTGTAAACATAGCCAGGTATACATACATGGCTGGAGAAGTCACAAACCCTAGAGAAAACTTTCTTGTCATTTCCCTAAACCAATGTAATTTCTTAGTATATTTTAAGTATTTATCCTTACA